TTATTGACAATCATGGCAGAAATTTTAGGCTATGCGGATTTTTTTTTTTTGTCACAAATATTTTTAGGCGTACACACAATTATTTAGGATCAATCCAGTATAGATGCTAATATTTTTTGACAGCCGTAAATATGCAATTATTTTACATGCTGCTTAGTATGCGTGTAAATTTCCCAATGTTTTTTCCCCTTGAGATGAGCCCCCAGAGTAATATCACTAGATACCTGCACATCACAAAGGGCACACCAGTGTTTAAAATTGTTCTGAACACCCACAGTGGGCTTCTTGACAGGCAGCTTCTGAGCAATGTTTTTGGGCTTTAAAGTCGATTCTTGCTTGGGCCCACCTTCACGGCCCGACGAGGATCCAGGACTTGGATGGTCTTTCGTGGTATTATTATTACTGAGCTTGCTCGATTTCAAGGACTGTAACATAGACGTATGCTTATTCCCCCTGAGATGGTCGTTCATATTCTTCTCGCTAGTCGTTGAAACTTGACATAAGTGACAAGTCCATTCAGCAGCTGGCGGTACAGCTTTTAGATTAATCGGTTGTTTGTTTTGGTCTGAAGTTGTTTTTTGTGGTGCTATTGTGTCTTTATTATTAAGAACCGGTGCATGGGCTTTTTCCTTGGAGACTGGCTGTTTTACATATGCAAAATGACAATTATTGGTTGAGTTAGTTTAACTGTGTCTAACCATATAATTACCAGTATACAGTGATAGAATGTTAAAATTCATTAAGCTCCTTTTAGAAGAAAATAAATGTAATATAATCAGTTTGAAACTATACAAAAATCCGAGAGCCTCACCTTTATCGGTTCAGTTGCTTCAATCCCCTTGGGAGTTTCTAATACTTCTTTATAAAGCCTCACTTTTGTCACTTCAGTTGCTGCAAATTCAATCCCCTTGGGAGTTTCTAATATTCCTTTATCTTTCTCAGCAGCATCAGGTTCTTTAGGCTACACGTAAGAACTAATATATATCAAGTGGGATTCAAAAAAAGAAAAAAAGAAAGAAAATGAAACTAAAAAAATTACCAGTTTCAATGTAGCCTCAACATTTTTCTCGTCTGGTTCTTGAACCCGAGAACCCCTCTGAGAATCATCAGATTCTTTGAGTTCCTTCTACGTCGATAAGAAACAAAAATAAAAAAAACATGCTCATTGTTCAAAAAAGAAATGAGAACAAGCAAGTCTGATATACACGAGTCTAACCACCAAAAAAAAATAAATATTTAGAAACTGTATTGTTAAATTATTATGGTATAGCTAAACCTTTGCTGCAATTAGCTTTTCTAGAGCCTCGACTCCATTCTCTTTCATGTACTTATCTGCCACATCAAGAAATGTCTCGCTCGTACGACTTTGTTCCTCAAACCTACGTATAGCTTCTTGTACATTCACGATCAAGTACGGACGTATAAAGCTCTGGTACGCATAACATGCACCATTAAACCGTGGCACCACTAACCACAAAATGGTCGCGAGTTTTATTTTCGACCAAAACGGTATCCTGTCAAAATAACGCAAAAGCATAACCAATCAACCAACTCACACGACGTGTTTATAAGTTGTACCACTCACAATTGAGTATCATGAATACATAAAAGCACTAAAATGTCTTTAATTCTCGTTCAATATAAACAAGAGATATTTGCACTATCAAGAAAATGGTGGCTATTTGGTGAAGGACACCGATTCGATGCTCCATTAACTTACTTCTCATGTCCATACAATCATTAGATATCTACTGAAGTGAACAAAAATTGCATCGAAACATAAATACGAACATACACTTATCGAAAAACAGCGTTCGGTACTTACCATTCGACGAGATTCACAAATGCAAACTCAAACAAAGAAATTAGAGAAAAAAGGGTCCAATATATAGCCAACTTCTTCAAGTGAAATTTTGAACTAGTTTCAATTGCTCTGATTGAAGCAAACCTGAAATTCAGTTCAACATAATTAATAAGCACAACAAATCCTTTTTATTCTTAAAAGTGAACATAATTAATAAGCACAACAAATCCTTCTTATACTTAAACAAACACTTTCAACCATTACAATCATCACAATTTATCCTAAATCCTGTCAAAAACAGATGAAACTCACAGAGGATATCCTAGAGCAATCACAGGCCTGCAAAAAAATTAACCAAAACAGATGAAAAAACGAGACACAGAGTGAACCATCATCGATACAATTAAGTACAGAAAACTTTACCAGGCAAAAAGATCGACACATAAAAGCGATAATTTCAGCAAAATCAAGAAACCCATTTGGAATTTGAGGATAATATCAACGATGATGTTCGAATTTTTTTGATCTTTGTCGAATTATTTGGCTATGAAATGGGGGAGAAAATCAGGGGAAAATACATGAGAAGAAGAAGAAGTGGGCTGTGTGACTATATGAGTGTTCGTACGTAGAGAGAAAAAGGGAGGACTTTGGTCATTGGGAAGTGAAAGCGACTCTCCATATTCACCTTTTTTGAAATAATAAAATCTGTTGGGGTGTGTTTGTTTTGTCATTGGAAGGTGTTTTTGACGTGGTGCTTTATTGGTTGGATGCATTAAATTTAAGTAGACATGTTCACGTGTCGAACTGACACGTGAACATGTTCCATCCCGGCCCTAAGGGGTCGGTTTGTTGAGCCGGACCCTTAGGAGTCACAGTTCGGTCCCAGTTCATAAATTTTTTTTGACCAGCCGGTCCGGGCCGCGAGTCGGATGACGGGCCGCATTGTTATTTTTTTGTTTTTTAAGGGCCGTATCGGCCCGTGACTCGTCGGGTTGGAGAACCGAGATGAACACATCTATATCTATATTTATATCTATATCTATATAATGAACCAATACTTATTGCCATAATTGACATGATTTTAGGCGGGAAATTTTGTTCTTATGCATGAAAAATATAATTAATTTTTATACACTCAACGATTATTACTCATTAACTACAAATTGTCTTAAATTAAAATTTTGACCGTAGATTTATTATATATTTTTTCAGTAAGATTTTATATTAATTTAATAGTAATTTATTGACACAATTCAAAAAATAATTATAGAAATTAATTTGATTAAATATATTATCATCTATGGTTGTATGTGTTAATTTAATTAATTATATTCACTATTCATAAGTACTTAAAATAATCAAAATAACTATGTTTCAATCATAATAACTTAATAAATAATTTAAAATATTAGTAAAAGTTTATAAAAATGTAGTCAATTTAACTATAAAAAGGTATATCCCCATTGAATATATCATATCCAGTGATAATAGTAATACTATCGAAAATTTAAATAATATACTAATAAAAATAAAATTTGTTGGTCGAGTGCAATTCATAATTATAAATTTCACCTTAGAAGTATCTATGTACATTAAAAACTATTAAGTTTTTAAAAATATATTTTTTTTCTTATATACTATTTTATAAATGAAAAATACGTTAATATAAAAGCTATGTATAATAATATAAAATAGCACTTGGTAATTATAGAAATATATAATATATCTAAATATTCGAATAGATACTATCTAACTCATTATATAAATTAAAAAATATATTTAAATAAAATAATATAAATAAAAAACGGAAACATAAAAATAAAGTATTTAACCATAGAAAATTGTTTGTTGTATAAGGATTAAAGTTACTAAAAATATAAATTTATTTATCACATATTTTAACATTTCATTCAGTTAATAATTATAGCGGAAGATAAATATTATGGGTTAAACGTTGGTCAATTATCAAACAATGTGCAAATTATGAATTGTTAAAAAAATTATAAGATTATGATAAAGACAATTTTATAAGTACATAAAAATAATTTGTATGCAAATATCACATGATTTTATAATTTATAATATTTTATAAACTTATAAATAATAAAATTATATATTAAATAGCAAAAAACTAAAACTATATATATACACATATAAATAGAAATTAACAATAATAGAATAAATAAATGTCATATTATTATTGAATAGAATATTGTTGAAAATATAATTTTATATTGTCATTTTATAATACTTAAATAAAAAATATTTTAAGTATTGCACCCCGTGCATCACACAGGTATCAACACTAGTCCGACAAAATGATACTGTAACGGCACCATAACATTTCACATACCATACATATAAAATGGTACATCGATGCCATAAATCATGTATCTTCTTCATTTAAGGTTAAATTACAATTGATGACTCATCTACATCTCACGCGAATCGATATTTTAAAGCAATAAATGTCAAAAAGTAACAAATGAAATTTCCAATTTTTCATTCAGTTTGTTCTCATTTCCATTTAAAGTTATTAGGTTGGCATACTTTGGGCTCCGTAGGCTGGACCCACTAGATTGTGTCACTAAATTGGGCCAGAAGCCCACAATCCTGTACATTGGCCCTCCATGTTCTGAACTGTGATCTACTCGAATGAATATATCTCTCCCTCGTGTATATTAATGCAAAACGTCCCTCCCTTATATATTAATACAAAATGTATGAGCTTAAGTGGCAGATTCTCACGCTTCGGATGCTGAAATAGTGAAAATTTATGCTTCGTGATGTTGTTTTTATTTTATTAGGTTGGCATACAAATCTGTATACAATATTATGTACTTATAGCATTACTCAAAAAACTTTTATCATATATTTCTTAGTTCAACACTCGTATTGTAGACGAGTATTGTATTAGTTCGTTATGCAAATTTATGACAACGCTATGGCCAACACAAGTTGATGCCAAAAAACTTAAAACTTGTTAAAATCAAAATATTTTATTTTAAATAATAAATATTCAACAAATTTGAATGTCAAAACTCTTTATATGTAATTTCTGATCGT